ACTGGGGAGCCCAGAACTGGACACAGTACTCCAGGGGAGGCCTCCCCAGGGCTGAGGAGAGGGGCAGGATCACCTCCCTCCACCTGCTGGTAACACTCTGCCTCATGCACCCCAGGATCCCACTGGGCTTCTTGGCCACAAGGACGCACTGCTGGCTCATGTTTAACTTGTTGTCCACCAGCACTCCCAGGTCCTTCTCGGCAGAGCTACTTTCCAGCAGGTCAACCCCCAGCCTGGACTGCTGCCTGGGGTTATTCCTGCCTAGGTGCAGGACCTTGCACTTGCCTTGGTTGAACTTCAGGAGGTTCCTCTCCACCCAGCTCTCCAGCCTGCCCAGGTCCCTCTGAAGGGCAGCACAGCCTTCTGGTGTGTCAGCCACTCCCCCCAGTTCTGTATCATCAGCAAACTTGCCAAACTTGCTGAGGGTGCACTCTGTCCCTTCCTCCAGGTCATGGAGGAATATATTGAACAAGACTGGACCCAGGACTGACCCCTGGGGGACACCACTAGCTACAGGCCTCCACCTCGACTCTGCGCCATTCACCACAACCCTCTGAGCTCGGCCATCCAGCCAGTTCTCAACCACCTCACCCTCCACTCATCTAGCCCACGCTTCCTGAGCTTACCTAGGAGGATGTGATGGGAGACAGTGTCAAAAGCCTTACTGGCTTTTGAATTTGTATTCTGCGTGTTGTGGTATCTAACATTTCAGAATGTCCAGCTATAACAGAGGGTATTCCTCTGCCTTGCTTTGTTGTACTGCATCCATGTTTTCAGTGTCTCCCTTGATGGATTGTAATAGTACTATATGCCTTAGCTGTATTGTGCTGTCATCATTAGGTATGAGCTGCTCAGCAGACTTATTACTGTTTCCCATACTGTAAAGAGAAACAGAGAGGACTTGCTAAGCATTCATTGCTTGCTGACACTGGTAAGTCAGCATACCATTGAATTATCCAAACCAACTCTAATCACTTAAATTGGTTGGGAGAGCATCATTTGTATTGGTAATGCAATGTCAATTTCTGCTGTTGTGTTTTAGCATTAGATATGAAAACTTTTAGGTGCGTGGACAGCATAAAAGCGACTGAAGAGCAAAAATGTCCCAGTGAGTACTGAGGAGAAGTTGTTCTTTTTGCAGCAAGATTTCTGTCCTTAGAATTGGAACCATCAGTACTTCTACAGTACACATTTCTAATCTCTCCAAGCCTGGAGAAATCCTATGATTCATTATTTCATAAGCTGCTAGTGGGTCAAAGAGGTAGGAAAGGGTTCTCTGCAAATTTCTCCCTACTTGATGCAGTTACTGGCTTGTTTGGCCTGCAGCTTTGCATCCTGACATACTAAATCTCTTGTCCTACTACATCTTTCAACCTCATCCTCTGCCACCTCCTTCCATGTTCAATTAAATACCTAATATGAATCAAAACCTCTTGTCTATTTCTTCATCTCTTTACTTCCTCCCATTACTTAGATTCTAGTCCCCAAAAGTCCCCGTTTTTTAATTCCCGCAAAATTCATAGACGTCTGGGTAGAGTGATTGTTCTCGCTGATTCTGCCCTTTCAATTCCCTTCAGTATAGCTCACACGTATTAGTGCTGTCTAGTCACACATCTTCCCTTAGTAGACCACCTTCTTTTCCCCTCACCCCACATTCTCTCTTTTCTCTTGTACTTCTCCCTTGTCCCTGCACTGTGTGATCATGGGTTCCTCGAAGCTGCATAGTGGAAAGCCGCATCCTTCTTACCATCTTCTCCCTTTTCAATAGACTTTCTAGCAGTTTAATTACTTATTGTAGTCCTCTTGTATAATGTAATATAATGTTGGACAGATGCTGTCTGCCTCTCCTTTGAGATCT